AGTAGAGACCGGGTTTCACCATGTTGGCCAGGCTGGTCTTGAACTTCTGACCTCAGGTGATCCACCTGCCTTGGCCTCCAAAAGTGCTGGGTTGAGAGGTATGAGCCACCACGCCTGGCTGCCACTGGAAGGTTTTGAGCCAAGGAAAAACATGATTTGACATCCATTTTTAAAGCATCATTCTGGCTGCTGTTTTGAGAACAAACTGTAGGATGGGGGCGAAAAGCAGAGAAGGCAAAAGCAGAAGCTCTCTTGCTGTGCTTCATCCTGTTCACTTATCTGTCTTTTCTTTAAAAGTTTGTTTATGTATCACTTAACTGGTTTTTCCTGGTTGAAACAGGGTCCAGAGGTCATCATGTGGTGTGTTCCATCCTATCAGAAATGAGAACAGCAAAGAGACTAGAGTTCTTCCTATCCTATTTGGAGAATTCTTTTTCCTTTCCCTTGATAATTATATAAACATAAGACATAAGACCCATATCAATGGTCTATATTATGGAGAGGCAAGATGTTTTTGCAAGATGTTCATTCCCATCTCCTGAAACAGGCTTCCTTAAGTCTGGATCTGGAGTCTCCCCACACTCTAGAGGCCCTAGCCATGTGCCAGAATCTGGCCGGTGCTGCAGCAGAGTGCCTCAGCCCTTAGGTGTGAGCTCCACCAGCAGAGTGCCTCAGCCCTTAGGTGTGAGCTCCACCACCGCGGGGTCGTGGCAGCTTATCTAAGGAATGGAGTGGGAAGGCTCCTCCTAGTTTCCAGTGTATGTCCGGTAGAGTTTATCAGGTTTAAAAAGTTACAGGATCCTGATTTGAGCTGGCAGGATTAAATATATGCCTTTCCGTAGGTCCAGTTCACGTATACATTTAGATGGTTTGATTTAGCTTTACTTAAAGTCAAAGGAATCCCTGTGTTTGCGTTTTTGCAAGAAACTGGTAATGGCTTGCCTAGTTTCTTCTCTAGTTTCTTAGGGCAAAGGAATGAGTTTTGCCAAAATTTTATCTAGGAAAAATGGAGTAGTTTTCTAAGTCTTACGGGACACTGTCAAAATATAGAAATATTGCCTTAGGGAATTCTTTTTTTTTTTTCTTCTTTTTTCTCTAGGTAAAGGAGATCTTCAGGAAGTCACCTTTCCTGGTACCAAAGGACAGTGTTAGCATCATGGATGGATCCGACGAAGGTGGGAGAGGTGTTGATATGTGTTCTGGGGGAGAGGGGCAGGATCAGTGAAAGATCTAACTAAAGGAACTGGGGCCAGGGATGGGGTCCTGAAGAGAAAGGAATAAACAGAAGGAATGGGATAGCAGGAAATAGAAGAGAGGGAGAAGGAACATGTGCTCTAGACATGAAATTTAGAGAGAAAAAAAACAAGGATGGGGCCAGGAAAGAGAAAAATATGCTCTGGGATCTAATCCTTATCTTTCTTTCTTTTTAGGCATATTAGCTTGGGTTACTGTGAATTTTCTGACAGGTAATACATCCTCAAGTTTATCTTCAGAGCTTAACTAGCTTTTACATGCATAGTCAGAAGAGTAAAAAAGCCCTTTCTTTCATTCTGTATTGTTTCTTCTTCTTTAAAAAAGGAAAGGAGGCGGGTGTGGTGGTTCATGCCTGTAATCCCAGCACTTTGGGAGGCTGAGTTGGGCAGATCACTTGAGGCCAGTAGTTCAAGACCAGCCTGGCCAACATGGCGAAACCCTGTCTCTACCAAAAATACAAAAATTAGCTGGGCGTGGTGGTGTGTGCCTGTGGTCCCAGCTACTCAGGAGGCTGGAGAATTGCTTGAACCCAGGAGGCAGAGGTTGCAGTGAGCTGAGAGCAGAGATTGTGCCACTGCACTCCAGGCTGGATGATAGAGCAAGACTCTGTCTCCAAAAAGGCCTTCAAAAAACAAAAAACAAACAAACAAAAAACACCTGCCTTGAAGGCCTCTGCTGCAACGAGAGTCCTTCTGAGTTGACATTCACCTGCAGCATCAGGGCTGGGGAGCAGTGGAGTGTGTGTGGAATACCTTCAGTGCATGATAAGAATAAGAGAGACAAGTGTTGGGCTGCCCAGGATGTGGAGGATATTTAGAACTGGCTCTCATTTGACAGGTCAGCTGCATGACCACAGACAGGAGACTGTGGGGACCTTGGACCTAGGGGGAGCCTCCACCCAAATCACGTTCCTGCCCCAGTTTGAGGTGAGTCATTTCTTGAAGATCTGGTTAGAAGTGCACTTGGCAGGCATATCATGGTGCCAAGAAAGAGGCATCCCATTTTCAGCCAGCAGCTCTACCACGCTTAGGCAGAGTCAAGTCAGTTAATAACTGGGTGAATGTTCCCTTGCCATCTCACTGTTCAGAATCCCTTCGATTCCTTAAGCCTAGTGAGATTAGCCGCTTAATCTGTCTTCATCTGATTTTTTGCTGGGAGGGACGGGTGGTGGTGTGAACATCTTCAAGTGATTACAGATCCTGAATAGTCTTTTTGCTTTTTCTGATTTGCAGAAAACTCTGGAACAAACTCCTAGGGGCTACCTCACTTCCTTTGAGATGTTTAACAGCACTTATAAGCTCTATACACATAGGTGAGAATGGGGACAGGGAAGAATAATATTTCATGTTGTATGTTCTCCTAACTTTTCTAAGTGTTCTCAAATCTGTTATTGTATCTGATCAGCAAAACAAAGTCTGTGCCAATTCCCTAAGGCCTATCACTGAAACCCAGGCCACTTACAAAGCCCGAGGAACTTAAGAACCTTCTCCATTCTTGGCCTCAAAAGCATTAATATATGACTTAAGAGTCAAAAATTGTCTGCTGGGTGCAGTTGGCTTCATGCCTGTAATCCCAGCACTTTGGGAGGCCGAGGTGGGTGGGTCACCTGAGGTCAGGAGTTTGAGACCAGCCTGGCAAACATGGTGACACCCCATCTCTACTAAAATACAAAAATTAGCTGGATATGACAGCGCATACTTGTAATCCCAGCTGCTCAGGAGGCTGAGGCAGGAGAATCATTTGAACCCTGGAGGTGAAGGTTGCAGTGAACCAAGATCACGCCACTGCACTTCAGCCGGAGCGACAGAGCAAGACCCGGTCTCAAAAAAAAAAAAAAAAAAAGTCAAAAGTTTTCTCTAGGGAGAGGACACTTCAAGAAGGCTCAGGCAAAGCTTCTTGCCAACTCCTTTGAGCTGGCCTTTAGAGGTTCAGAATCCAGCCTGGAATTTGATCCTAGTTGGGGCTAGGAGCTAAGCTAAAGAGAGCTTTTCTGGGAATGGTTCCTAGTGTGGGACCCTAGGAATTGTCACTGTCTCTGGCCTTTGAATGATAACTGTGGGGAATTCTTACTGCATAGCCTTGATCCAAACTGTGCAGAAATTACCCCTTGTTGACCACAGGAGATGAATATGTCACAGAGACAGAACAAGGTTTTCATATTTCCAGAGGGAAACAGAAACCATGTTACTTTTGAAAGAGGTAGCTTTAGGCTAGAGAACTTCAGGACCAGCATGAAATTGGTCAATCCTGTATTTTACAGTTACTTGGGATTTGGATTGAAAGCTGCAAGATTAGCAACCCTGGGAGCCCTGGAGACAGAAGGTTTGTCTGGGTACCTGTGCTGGGTTGGGGATGGTGAGGGTGACACAGATACTCCGCTTGCTTCTTCCCTTCCTTGATAGCCATTCTATGCAGGAAAAGATTATGTTGAATTGGGAGGCAAATGTTGTATAATGGACCTAATAATAGCAAATCCTTTTCTGTTTTATAAGTTCAGAAGTTTTGATGTATATTATTAGCCATTTTTAGAATGAGGTCTACTTGTACAGGGGGAACAGCCTATGTCTAGGCAGTTCTGCAGAAATCCCAGGCTTTAAGAATACATTTGGCAGGAGCTTGCTCAAGCCCTGAGCTTTACATTGGAGGCACAGGAAGCAGGGTCTGTTCTACATGCAGGTAGAACAACAGAGTAACTCCATTCATCTCTTCACAGTTGAGGTCAGGCAGAACTGGGTTCAGTCCCAGCATTGTGATTTGAGGCAAGTAACCTATCTGTGCCCCTTTCCTCACAGTAAATGAGAATTTGCATTTAAGGCACTTTGTACAGTAATCTGTTATTGGGATGACATCTATTTTTCATTTCAGAGTATGCAAAACATCTTCAAGTGTATTTCATTTAAGCCTCTCAGCAACCAGTGAGGAAAGCAGCATAGCATTTCTTTCTTGTTTTTAGAAAGGTGGAAACTTACTGTGTCGTAGGTTTTGGATCTTTGAGATATATGGACCCCTCTGACAGAAGCACATGTGCATGAAAATTTGCTTCTGGTTTCAGGGGGTTCACCAACCCCACGAAGCCTGTCTGTGAACCCTGAGTTAAGGATTCCTGTCACAGGATGTTGTCATGGAATTAATGTCATCGGATTTTAAGGCCCAGCCCCCACAGTGATTCTTTTCCGGCTCACTGGCTTCTTGTTTGCCTTCCTCCCTCTCTCTCACTTACTTACTTCTTACCTTGTGCCCTGGATTCTTTCAGGGACTGATGGACACACTTTCCGGAGTGCCTGTCTACCGAGATGGTTGGAAGCAGAGTGGATCTTTGGGGGTGTGAAATACCAGTATGGTGGCAACCAAGAAGGCAAGTGATGTTTTTTCACTGGTTAAATTTACGTTTACAATGGAAGCTCTGGAAAAGTCCCATGGGAAGCTTTTTCCAGAACTCAAGCTTACCTTTTTGCAGGGACTTGTTCCAAAGATCTTGGCATGCCTCCAAAGACTAATGTGAAGTGACAGGGAACAACGCAGCTGTCATTCTGCATCGACCAAGTGTCATGGACCCATTAGATACCTGCGCTTAGCTAAGTGCTGTGGTGCACATCTACAGTCCCGGTTACTCAGAAGGTTGAGGCCAGAGGATCACTTGAGCCCACGAGTTCAAGGCTGTAGTGCACAATGCCACCGCACTCCAGCCTGGGCAATGGAGACCCCACCTCTTACAAATTAATTAAGAAACCTATTCTAAGCCTAGGTCAAATGCAGCAGTGTGAAACCCTGTTTAGTTAATAGTTAGCTATTTAAATTATAGTAAAACTTAAAACCATGAGAAGAATGATTCATCTTCTTATAAAAGGTATATACCTGAATATCAAGGAATGAACTTGAATTCCCAGTGAAGGAAGCTGGTGAGCCCTTTAGCTACTTGCTTGCAAATGCTATGGAATGTAATGCTAGGCAGCAGCACAAGGTTGGCCATGATTTGGTGAATACAGATTAGGCAGGGGAGCGGGCATAGAGAAACAAGAGTGGTGAGGCTGCAGACGTTTGCTCATCTTTGTTTTGAAGCCTCTTGTCCCAAGCATCAACCTTCTCTTGCTTTCCTTGACCTTCCTGCTGTTCCCTCATTGTCTCCAGCAGCTTTCCTCAGAGAGTGTCCCCTTCCCCCAGCGTTGTTCTCACCTTACCCCTGTGCACCTTTGCCTGGCAGGGGAGGTGGGCTTTGATCCCTGCTATGCCGAAGTGCTGAGGGTGGTACAAGGAAAACTTCACCAGCCAGAGGAGGTCCAGAGAGGCTCCTTCTATGCTTTCTCTTACTATTACGACCGAGCTGTTGACACAGACATGATTGGTGAGTTCACCCCAGGTGTCAGTCCAGAGAGGAAGGTGGATAGGGCTGTGGTGGGGAAGGTCAAGGAGAAAGAGCAATTGAGGTGCTTTGTTGAGCTGATTACCCACCTCTTTTCTAGTCACTCGAACAAAAGGGTGGAAATGACTTAGAATCTTTTGGAGCTGAGAGATGACCAAAACAACTATATGATGTCTTTTTTTTCTTTTAACATGTTTATTGAGGTATAATTGGCATACAATAAGTGCATATTTAAAGTATACAATTTGTTAAGTTTTGTCATGTATACACCCATGAATCCATCACCACATTGAAGATAATAAACATATTCACCCCAAAAATTTTCCTCCTGTCTCTTTATGATAACTTTTCTTCTTATCACAAAAGTAATATTTTTGCCTGTGACAGTATATGTACCTGATCTGTCATGGCCTGAGAGATACGAATTAATTCCCTATTATTGTGGGGGTTTTGTTGTTTGTTTTTTTGTTTGTTTTTTGAGACGGAGTT